GAATGCTACCTGCGTTACCAACACTTCCTTCCTCAGCAGCGTGTACCCATAAATACCGAGTTTGTGTTTTTGCCAGGCTTGGACAGAAGGCCTTACCTCACAAGCTGGAATACGTTGTTAATGAGACTGGCTCTGTCGTTGCTGCTAATCACTGTATGGTTCTCTTTCAACAGGTTAATCAGGTGATCCCATCCATCATCTTCGTAGTGCACAATGTAATACCCATTCATGTCCACGTTGAATTTAATCCACTCCACCTTTTCCGGAAGGATAATGACATCTGGAAACAAAAATGGAACTCCTTTTCTTCTCAGTGATTCAAATACATCCTAGTACTACACCCAATAATACTGCTGCTCTCATTTCACTGATTTAAAGAACACAGTAACACTGTTTCTGAATATATTAAGAAATTGTTATAGCGATACTATTGAGCTGACAGAAATTTGCTTCTCTGGTACTAGCAGTTCCAGTTCCCCGTTCTGGAAAAAACCCTGCAAACCCAAAAGGCTTGCAAACAAACTTTGATTAAATTAATTGCCTAATTAATCAAAAGAAATTACCTGCTTTAGTTGTCATCAAAAATCTCTGAACAGTGTGAGATTTACTGGTGATGTAGGTTAGTGGGATGTGCCACAAGTACCTATTGCAAAACAGAAGTGCTGTGTTTAATGAAAGAACTTTGCAAAAGCTTCTCCAACTTGTCCCGGTCTAACCATGGAGTAACACCTTCTGCTGGCGCAGTGACAGCGATGGACAGGCCGCACGCACACCTCCGACACCTGCGCAGAGCCAGACGCATCTGCCCAGCTTCGGTTCAGTTTGCTCAGGGGACCACTGGCAACGAAGCCGCAACAATATGGAGAAGAGGAGGCTGAAGGGAGACCTCATCGGTCTCTACACCTACCTGGAAGGAGGTTGTAGTGAGGTGGGGGTTGGTCTCTTCTCCCAGGTAACCAGCGATAGGACGAGAGGCAATGGCCTCAAGCTGCGTCAGGGGACGTTTAGATTGCATATTTGGAAAAATTTCTTTACTGAAGGAGTGTTCAGGCCTTGGACCAGGCTGCCCAGGGCAGTGGTGGGGTCCCCATCCCTGGAGGGGTTCAAAAACCGTGTGGATGTGGCACTTGGGGCCATGGTTTCATGGTTTAGCAGGCGTTGGTGGTGTTGGGTTGATGGTTGGACTTTTCCAACCTTAATGATTCTATGGTTCTATGATACGAACTCCAGTTCCAGCAGCGCGTTCCCAGCGCAGGCTCACCCCAATGCCCAGCACCACGGCTCTGCAGCTACCAGGACCGAGGTCCAGCAACACGAGTATGGCTGCGCAGGGAGCAACGCAGAGCCAAACAGCTCGGGGAGCACTCCCTAACAAAGTGCAGCAGAAGCTGTCGCTGTACATCAGCCTTTGCCCTACGAAAGCATTTTGGTTTGTGTGCCGAGATCACCCCTTTCTGTTTACCCCATGGACGAAGTAGAATCCTCTCCCGTCACATAGCGATCCTGCTGCAGGTGGACGTTCTTCCCTCTCACCGTGACAGTTACCAGGGGAAAACCTTTCTGCAGCGTCCAAGTGTCCATCATTGCCCGCACATCAAAAGTCTCTCCTTTAGTCCAATGCTGGGTTTTAGCGAGGGAAAAATGAGAGAGGTAAGAAGAGGAGGAAGATGGGACTGCACCGACAGTGAAACGGAAACAGGTACCCAAGAACTCTCAAAGCTGCGGGGTACTCATAAGCTCTACATAGACATGTTTAGACTGGATAGCATGACATCTCCACACGGTTTCCTTGTAGACATTTTCATATCGTTAATGACATCTCTTTAAGGACTGCTGTTTTTCAGCCCTGGGATTTCTGCCCCGTCTCAGAGAGAACAGACTTCCAGTGGAAATGAGGAAACTTACACTCTCCCTAGAACCATGCCCAAGTGTCAAAGAATGCTTTGGACTGTGCACCTATCAATGACATGGAATAGTAACATGAGAGGGCACAGATAAGTGTCAAACTCCTAAATACTGATGGGTAGAAAACTAGATGCTTACTGCATTTGAAGATGACTGTTCGCTTCTTCTGCAAAAACCATCACCTTGTAGTTCATTTTTATCACTACCTACTGCGGGGCAAATCTGGAAGGGGGAAAAAAAGTTTTGGTTATGTCTCTTTGATTTCGTAAGTACTGGTCACAGTCTTCAGTAATGTATTAGAGAACCACATTATTCATGAAAAGTTACGAAATTTGAAAAAAATTAGAGAATAAGGAATACTTGCATTTGTCATGCTGTTCCACAAATCTTCATTTTTTGTGTTCTGGTAGCTGTATTTCTGCAGGTACTGGACAAGTCTAGCTTTAAAGATGTCAGCAGTCAGGTAGTCGCTCAGCATATTTAATATACAAGATCCCTGAAAAAAAAGAGCGACAAAGTGTTTACAAACTACTCCTTAGCTGGCAAGATGCTTGTTTCAGAAAAATTTCAGCGTGCCGATTATCTGCGTAGCAGTTCACTTTTGTATGTCTTTCTGATTAAAAAATAATCGTGTTTTATGTACATTGAAACAGGACTTGCGTGATTTGTGGTCATCACTCTTAAAAATATCACTGATAGAGTAAGTTATGTTATCATTTTTTTAATTACTATGCAAGGCAGTACCATATAATGCTCCATTGAAAAACACTCCCTGGGTTAAGAACCTAAAAAAATGGTTAAATTGATACACAACAGATACATGAAGTGAAGGCTTCCTCATTTTAGAAACGGAAAAGGCAATGGCCATTTGAATCTGCTCAGGAGTTTTGGATAAGGAATTATTAAAGTCATGACATGGTTAGCACCATGTGTCAGGGACATCTTCTATGTAGCAGCGAAATCAGTAAAATACAATTTTGTGTTGCAAGCAGTACAACTGAAATCAATAGCAGTTACATATTTTACCTTCTCATAAGAAACTTCATCAAACATTTCTAAAATTTGAGCTGGATCTTCCACAGGAGTAGATACGGGATGTGATGAATTTAATGCGTCCACTTCCATGGCATCAAAACATCTCCTTAAGAAATAGTCTTCCTAATAGGAGGCAAACCCAAATATTACTAATAAATTTTGCTCAGTGACCCCTGAATCCCTATGCGTTCACTCTTCAGTCCATTCCACATGATCTTTACATCACTCAAAGAAAACAAAACATAACTTTCTTTTTATTCCAGAGCATAAAACAACCCAAACCAGTAACACAGCCATGTGAGTTCTAGTGTTCTAAACGAATGTAAATAGCCGAGCTGGTGAGACTTCAAAAAGACACATGCACATTCCTACAGTTTCATGACAGAGCGATCAGTAACCATAAAACAAATCTAAACAAGAAAAAGGTGAATTTCTCTATTATCATGCCACCGTAGTGCTATGGCAAAATTCTGCTCAGATGCATTGTTTGTCTCACTTTGGTAGAAAATTTCATAATTAGTCCTCTGATAAAGCTAGTGGATGGATTTTAGTGTTTTCAAGTCTGACCCTATTTGATGAAATAAGATAAAATACTTTCTTTACATTTTTGGAAGTCTAAATGTGTTTAAAATAAGGATACACTTTCACTGCAACCATTAACTCCCATCATCAGTTCCTGAAAATATTTACATATAGCTAAATCAACATTCCTACCCTTCAGAGTCAACATCAGATAATCCTATCAAACAGAAATTTAAAAGTGGTTCACAGCACAAATCTGCTTGATCTTTATCCTTACTAATCAGTGGATTCAGAAGTCAGTAATAAAATAAAAATACAGTAACAGCTGCTTACAACTCTCAGTTCTGGATGGGTAACGCTGACCGACACAAACTCCATGAACTTTGCAAATCCTTCATTTAACCACAGATCATTCCACCACTCCATGGTAACGAGGTTGCCAAACCACTGAGGGGAGGGAAAAAAAGAGCTTCTGAAATCAAATACACAATCTATCACAAAAGCTGCTACTGGGCTGTATGAAACTGCATTTATAGTATGTTATTGATCTCTAGGGAACCTTTTTTTAGCGATACAGCCTGCTCTGACCTCTTCCCATTGCATTCTCATTTTAATGGTAACATGCTAAAACACTGTCTTCCACTCATGTTCCAAGAAACCTTGTAAAGAAACCACATTTGGCAGGAGAGCCACATATGAAAGAGTAAACCTTTACATTCCTATTTTGGTGGCCTGCAATTAATTTCAAGGGCTGACAAAGGTGCAAAGGCCCCGCAGCGTTTGAGCTGCTGAACTGAACAGCTTTACGACCACAGGTCTCCGTGTCTGCGCAGCCTGCCACAACTCCATCCACCTTGACCCCTTTGCAGGGGGCTGTTCAAACTCCTTATTCTCCCCCAAATCTCACCTGATGAGCCAGCTCATGGGCTATCACCACAGTAATCCAAAGTTTGGAAAATGCTGAGGACTTTTGAGGGTCATACAGCAAAGCAGATTCCCGGTATGTGGTCAGTCCCCAGTTTTCCATAGCACCAGACTGAAAATCAGGAATAGCTGCTAAATCTAGGAAAAAAAATATTAAAATAGTACCAGTATAGTTTTACTCAGTAATGAACTCGCTCGGCCACTTGTCCCACTTCATGACAGCTCCCACACAGGCACATGTATCCCACATACTTCTAAGGGCTCTCTTAATTGTAGCTGCAAAAACATACTTGAAGAAAAAGCTCTGTACAGAAGACAAGGATCTTCATTTCCAGTGGAGCTTTGCAATCTGTCCTTAAGCTCTGCGAAGCAGCCACTTTAAAAGCCCGTGAGCCACGCCTAGCTCTGTCTCAGTACTCTGAATTACTGATTTTGTGCTGTTTTACTGTCTGCGCTAAATAACTTAATGTATTTGAGAAAATTATTAAGCGCTTACCTTGTTTAGGTAAGGGGTACGGAATGCTGAAGTAATCCTCATAGAAGTCTAGAAGTTTCACTGCTGCATCCAAGGCATAATGAGCTTGGTCGATCTTGTCTGGCACCGTGTACACAGAAACCTACAGCAGGCGAGCAGGCAGCACCTCAACACCCGCACCGAAAGCTTCCAGAAGTTGTTCTTTATCACGGTCACTTCAGTGACCACAAAGACGGACACTACAGCACAACGCTAACACTTGTCATACAAGAATTATTAACACATTTGCAGGAAAATATTATCAGGATTAGGAATAGAAGTTTAAAAACTTACCCACCAGAACCAGTACGCCCCTACAAAGACTTCTACTATTTCCATCCCTACCATGTTAGAGTCATTCCACCAACACAGGTTTATTTTAGTGCTGAGATTCTCCATAAAACTGCATTCCATTTGCTTTTAACTACATAATCTTACACAAAACAATGTTGCCAATGCATATAATTATATAAAAAGCCCATTACCAAAAACTTTTGAAATTAATAAAGCTTGCAATGCAAGCTAATCATGCGACTACAAAACCAGTTTCTTTCTCTCCTTTCGTTCCCGTAAAACGTCAAGATATATAAATCTGGTGATTTAAGGAAAAAGTAAACCGTTACATGTCCATACAGACTTAAAACCAAAAAAGCTCTTAGAAAATGAGACAGAGTTACCTTAACTCCATGGCTGGTTATTTTGCTGATGGATTTAAAATCCGAAACAATAAAGGCCACGAGGTACGTACTCATCTTGACAGTAGTTTCAAAATGGTCCTCAACAAGCCAGGGAGTTATATTCACAGACTTCACCTAAAAAATGAGCACAAACACTTGTGATTCTTCTCCATTTAAAGACACTACGCTTTAAAGATACTGCATTTTGAAGATATTACATTCCATTGCAAAGATACACCCAAAAGAAGTCATTTTCTTGCCCACTCTTCCCACAGAGAGAACTAAAACACACAAATGTCTATATACAGGCACTTCATAAGTGTCACTTAATACTACTTTGGTAAAACTAGAAAAACAGAAACACTGTTCACTGCTTCAGTTTTCCTCAGTGTCTGCCAGCACACCGATCAAATGAATCTCACACAATTTTAGCTCATTAGCAGCTGTATAAATCTCAACAGCTGTGGCTGCACATGAGAGAAGTGAACTCCTCCAAATCGTGATTCAGCTACCTCAGATATCTGGTTTAGCACAAAAGGAGTCGCGTGCTGGAGGTATCTGCTCACCCCTCTTGGTTACAGAGAGCCTTAGCTAACTAACTTAGACCTGAAACACGTTTATCCATGCTGAACTGTAACACTGGCACCCACTCCTTATTTGTTATTTTATCCATTTCTCTGCAAAAGAACTGATTTTTTAAGCTGACTTTCACTTTTGAAAGGTATCTGGGGTGAGTGGGGGTGTCCCTCATTTATAAGTGTGAGTTTCCTTGCAAACCAGCAACTGATAGTACAGTATGAAGAACCTTTTACACCCAAAGCAAGATCAAATGTACAAAACGTAGTTAACCCTATATATGCCTACATATTTATAATAGCAAACAATATTTGTAGCTACTACGTGTACTTTCACTCATATATTTTTTTTTAAGTCCAAAGTATTTTTTTTTCCTCCCAGAGATGGTCCTGCTTATCTGACAATTACGTTAATATGCATGAATAGTGTATTTATTCATACATATTTCACCATCAGTCTTAAAATCTGAGATCACCATGGAAGGCATTTTGTGAGTGAAACAAGGATTATGGAGACTACATTGCGCTGATCGTTCTCACACCTCTGCTGAGAAGCAGGAACCCACGCAACGCGTGGTTTTCTTCATTCATTTTAACCTTGCATCAAGGCTACCAGCAGCGGGTACCACACTCTCATAAAAGAGCTGAGGTGACATTCAGGCCACCATAACCAGCAACAGCAACTGCCTGGATATTCCACTCTCCTTTCACCTTCTCCTTTCAAAGACCATCAGGCAACGGCGCATCGTTACGCGCATCCACCTACGATCGGCATATTGGACAGCGCAAGGTGCTTCGGCTCCCTCCTGATCCTGACCGAGAAGCTGGCTTTGAAGGCTGGCTCGTCGAAGCAGGGGAAGGCCATTCGCGCCGCTGTCGGCTCGAACTGCGTCGCTGCGAGCACCCTGCGCGGGGGAAAAACAACAGGTTTTGGTCACGCACCTTCGCACACACAGCGTGCACCCCCACGATGCGTGAAAACAGAGCAATTTCACGTTTAGCAAATGACCGCCGGTGCGACTGGTGGGGAGCAGGGCCAGCTGCTCGAGGGCCTGATGCTCCAGAACCCGCACCCCCCGCGCCTCCATGGCGTCCCCGCCCTCGATGGTGGCCCCGTCGATGAGCAGCCTCTTGCTGTGCAGGACGACGGCGCGGGTCTGCCGGGTGACCGCCACCTCGATGGCGACCGTCCCGGCGAAGTTGAGGGTGGTGAGGTTAGGGTGGACGAGGAGGTGGTAGCGCAGCGGGACGACGTCCGTGGGCAGCCGCACCGCGCCCCACGGGAACTCCGCGTCGCCACTGCCAATCGCCCGGGACACGCTCAGCAGCCCCAGCAGCACGGCCACCGCCGCTACGAGACCTGGGGACGGCCAGGACCGGGGCTCCGCTGCCATCTTCCCTGCAAAAAGGAAAGGGAAACGCAAAGTGAAAGTGAAAGCGTCCGGTGGGCTGGGGTGTTGTCCCCAGAGCAGGCGTGTTTAGCGGGCGTGCGACACGCCAACACAGACACAGGGCAGAGGAATTGTCTTTATTGCACTTTTGGGAGGGTTTGGGGGCGAGGTGATAACCGCACAGAGCCAGCACCCGGCGTTGCGGAGCCACGGGGACCACAGCTCCCACGAAAACAAGGAAATCGCTGATGAAGCTCCGATTGGCTCATCGAGTTATACGCTCATCTTAAAGGCATCGCGTTATGCACTCATCTTAAAGGCACACTCCTTCTTTATTTACCTTCGCACGCTGCAGGGGGGAGCGCAGCCTTTTCGGTTCCGAACGGAGTCGGTGGTCGCGATCTCCCCCTGCCGCCTTTACCTTTGTCCCAGTTACCCTATTTGTTAACTTCACGCCGCTTCGGCAGTCGTCCAGCTTTCAGTGCCTTCCGGGCTTTGTGTTCCCCTCTACGCCCCGGCCCTCTCTGCCCGGGCTCGGGGGAAGAGGGGGGGAGTGCTCTGCACCCCATGTCCAGGCAGCCCCCAGCCCCAGCCCCGGCCCCAGGCAGGGTTGGTGCAGCACTGCAGCTCGGTTACAGACGGGGCCAGAGGTGCTGGATATCGCGACATCCACGCGTGTGTGGGTTCGGGGCGGTGTCTCCACGGATCGGCCAGATGTTAGCTAGGAGAATGTTTGTTAAAGCTTCCGTGCTGGAGTGCAATTCCTTTCTCTTAATAGAGGAATAAAAGTCAAGAAAGCCCTTAACATGATTTAGGTCTCAGTGCCACCACTTGTTCTTTCCAAAAACCGTGTGGACATGGCACTTCAGCACATGGTTTAGCAGGCATGGGGGTGTTGGGGTGACAGTTGGACTTGGTGACCTTAGAGGGCTTTTCCAGCCTATGATTCTAAGCCTATAAGCAGCAACTCAGGAGTGTGTTACTTGCTGCTCTGAGCAGTTTAAAATGTTCAGTTCTAGTGTGTCACTAGAAACTTTTACAGACCGTTTTTTCCTTAATCTTGTTCTTAACACGCAGCACCATTCCTGTTGAGACTTGGAGACAGAAGGCCACCACGCCAAGCACAGTGTGCAAACAGGCCTTGGACACAGTGGGATTTGGTGGAATACCTCATCAGATGTGAGGCAGCAAATTTTGTTGTAAACAAGCTCAGTAGTAAAATCCCCATCTTAATAGTTCACCAGAAAATCTCCGGGGCAGCCATTCTGACACGCATGAGGACCATCCTGTGGGATCTGTGTGGTGTGAGCAGACGGGCGGGGAATGAACCTGAGACTGACCTTTTCTTTTCTTGTCCTGTCCTCACTCTACACACATGTTGTCAGAAATATCAATAATCATCTGCAAATGTTCCAGTTCCTCAGATGCTCTTGAACCTGATCCTCTCCTATGATGGGAGGGACTTCATTGCCCCAGTCCCTGTCCTGAGGTTCAGAGGCGTGAGAGACGTGGGAAGACAAACTGCCAGTGAAAACTGAGGCAAAAAAATTGTTCAGTACCTAAGCCTTCTCCATGTTGGTTGGCACCAGTTCTCCCATCCTATTTCTCACAGGACTCTGTGCGTGTGTGTTCCTTTTCTTCAATCTTCTGGCCAACGTACCTGTAGAAGCCCTTCTTATTGTTCTTTGCATTCCTTGCCAAATTCAGCTCCAACTGTGCTGTAGCTTTCCGGATCCTGTCCCTACCCATCCAGGCGGCATCCCTATGTTCTTCCCAGGATACCTGTCCCTGCTTCCACTGCCTGTGAAGTTCCTCCCTTAGTCAGACCAGGAAGTCCTTACTGGGCCATGCTGGTCTCCTGCCTTCCTTGCCTGATCTCTTACACAGGCGAATTGAGAGCTCTTGTGCTCTGAGTGAAAGGTCTGCAAAACAACTCTTCTCTCCCCCAGCTACTGTGTCAGCTCCTTGTGGAAGGAGATCTGTCTGGAAGTCAGCGTGTCCAGAGAAGGGCAGCAAGGCTGGTGAGGGGTCTGGAGAACAAGTCTGATGAGGAGCGGCTGAGGGAGCTGGGGCTGTTCAGTCTGGAGAAGGAGAGGCTGAGGGGGGACCTTCTCGCTCTCTACAGCTCCCTGACAGGAGGGTGTAGTGAGGTGGGGGTTGGTCTCTTCTCCCAAGTAACTAGTGGTAAGACAAGAGCAAATGGCCTCAAACGGAGGTTTAGATTGGATATTGGGAAAAATTCTTTGCTGAAGGAGTGGTCAGGCATTGGAGCAGGCTGCCCAGAGAAGCAGTGGAGTCCCCATCCCTGGAGGGGTTCCAAAAATGTGTGGATGTGGCACTTCAGGACATGGTTTAGCAGGCATGGTGGGGTTGGGGTGGTGGTTGGACTTGGTGACCTTAGAGGTCTTTTGCAGCCTTAATGATTCTATGATCCTATGATGCCAAGAGAATGTCCTTGAAAGAGAATGTCCTTGAAGAGCTGCCAGGCCTGTTCAACTCCTTTGTCCCTGAGGGCAGTTCTCCTGCAGGTCCCATCCACCAACTCCTTAAAGAATTGAAAATTTACTCTCCTAAAGTTCGGCATCCCGACTCTACTCTTCAGCTGGTCCATATCCCTGGGGATTGTTAATTCCACCAGGGCATGATCACTGCAGCCAGTCTTGACATCTCCCATCAGTTCATCCTTGCTGCTGAGCAACAGGTCAGTTTGCCAGCAAGGCTCTGCCTGCAGCTCCCGGCTGGGTGCTGGCTGTCTGCTGCCTGCGCGCGGGCTTTTGGAGGGCTGTGTAGAGCTGCTGCCATCCCGGCCCCCCGCGCCATCGCTGCGGTCCCCCAAGCCTGGGCTCCTGCTGGCCCTGCCTCTGCCCCCTCACCCTCCCCCTTGGTCTCTCTTCTCCCTGACTGTCGGGAAGAGGCCTCCAAGCTGAGGTTTCTGGCCTCCATCCGCACGCTCCGCACACCATGGCTGCAGGGCAGGTACCTGCCTGGTTTGAAAACAGCTGGCGGGGAGAGTGGAGGTGAGGGGACACCCAGGGGCTGAGGGAGGGGGCAAAGCTGGCCAAGCACCAGCCTGTTGGTGGGCCAGATGCGAGGGCAGATGGTACTCCTCAGTGCCTCTTGGCTTGGGGAGAGGCAGAAGACAGATAGGGCTTCGGGATCCTTCAGCCAGGATTGCACTCTGTCCCTGGCTCAGCAGCACAGGGGAGGGCGGAGATGCCTCCACGCGTCCCTTCTCCAACTTGTACAGGTACCACCCTGCGGACTGACAGCCCTGACGTCTGTGGCCACCTTCTCGGACGTGGAAGCCCTGGCATCCAACCCAAGATCCCAAGAGAGTGAAGGCTTGCTGCACCAGCACCTCTGCCCCTGCATCTGCAGCATCTTCTGTCTTGCTCCAGCACAGCAGGGGGACAGCCAGCATGCTTCACTTGATGCTCTGGTGACATGGCCACGGTGCAAGAGGAGTCCAGCCCTGAAGCTCTCTTCTCGTGGCCTCCTCATGGGCCATTGCCCAGCCTCCCTGGAGGTTCCTGTCCTCCTGGAGAGGGGACATGCGGACATTTTTGGAGGAGTGTGTGGAAAGGAGCAGAGGTGGCTGGGACTGTGGGATCCAGCTACCTCCCCGACTGCAGCAGGTCACTTACTGTTGCCAGCAGTCCCCGAGGTCGCGAGGCAGCCAGACCCCGTTCCAGGCCTTCCTCCTGTCGGGAGGATGCCTCGGTGGCATGTCACAGAGCCACTGTGCCAGGAGCTGCCGTCGTTTCCTGAGGCAGACCGGCAGCTATGCCGTTCTCAGGGCCCGCTGCTCTTCACGGCACCCCAGGCAGCAGCCAGCACTGGAGGGCTGCAGGGAGGACTGCCAGCCAGAGACAGCTCTTGATCCCGTCTTTGACGGTGGAGGTACAGGGCCGGTGGTGCAGGCGACTTCTCAGCCCTGCTCACCCCTTCCCAGTGGATGGGGAGTCCCGCTGGTGGTGAAGGAGGGCTCCGTTGGCTGAACCAGCGCATGCAGGACCAGCAGAAGCAGGGTCTCAATCCTCCTTCGGGCACCCCGGTCCTGCAGGCTCACGGGGAGGGAAGGCAAAGCTGCGATCATAAAGGCCTTAGCATAGTCAGAATAACAAGACTTTGTTGCTTGTTTAGGAACATGTTTGAAACCGTTGCCTTCAAGCTGCCAAGAAGATGAACAAAAGGAGTCTTTGAATCAGGGAACTGTCCTTGAAGGAGATAAGAACACCATGAGAAGACTGCTTGGTAGTGCTTGGCTAGTTCTGGCTGGTTCTGGCCGAGAAGTAGTGCCCAAAAGTAACCCGTCCTTCATTATAATACATTGTAATACTAAAAATCACACCCCCTGGGGGAAGGCCCCCAGACCCTTCCTCACTGAACACACGTGGTGTGAAAACACTGACCAAGAGTTTGGTGAATGACAGAACCAAGCAGCAGCACGGGGCTGCCCCATGGCGTGAAACTTATTGATAAGAAGTCAAGTAAAGGAATCCCCGCTTCGATACGTGGTGTGCAGGCCAGGAGGAAAGGTCCCCCTGCACCCGGCACTGCGATAGAGAGCGCTTGCTGTATAAAATTCCCAAACAGGTTTTAGAGTCCATGTCTTGGCCAACGTGCGGTGCCACCCTCGGCACCAAGACCCCCGCCTGGTTTCACTGGACACACTCACCTCTCCCATTGCCCTCCTTCGTTCTGTGGCAGTCGCACATGGAACAACTGAAAACACAGGGGTGAAGTTAATCCCAGTTTTCGTGACGGGTGGCTGCGTTCCTCAGGACGCAAGGAACCGTTAATCGGCTGACGAAGAGGAGAAGGCGACATCTCCTCTAGAGGAGACACCATTTGTCTCGCCCCGAAGGAACGGCCCCATTCTCTCACTGAAACCTCCTCCTTCCTTCTTTTTCCGGGAGAGAACTGAACTTCACTCTTGGAAATGTAGGTCGTTGCTCAGGAAGGATATCTGGGGGATTCCAAAGGAGAGTCAGTTTATAGAATTAAGAAGTTCCACCATTTTTTTTTTACTTTTCACTTGTGTCTTTAGGCCCAGACGTCTGATGTGCAGAAACGTAAAAGGCCTTGCAGGGGGGCGGCCGGCCGCAGACCGCCCATCCCAGCCTTCACAGCGCAGACCCCGCGTTTCGCAGCCTGCTGTAGGTGACCCTGCTTTGGCAGGGGGGTTGGACTAGATGACCCACAGAGGTCCCTTCCAACCCCTAACATTCTATGATCCAGAGGGACTCGGACAGGCTGGAGAAATGGGCCAGCAGGAACTTCATGAAGTTCAACAAAGGTTCAGGTTCTGCCTTTGGGGAGGAATAACTCCGTGCACTGGCACAGGCCGGGGACTGAGTGGCTGGAGAACAGCTTGCCAGAAAATGTCCTAGGGGTTGTGGTGGATACCAAAGCTTAGCATGAGCCAGCAATGTGCTCTTGTGGCAAAGGTGGCCAACAGTGTCCTGGGCTGCACTAGAAGGAGTTGGCAGAATATGGAAGGTGGTGATGGCTGCTCTCTCCCGGGCAGTGGTGAGACACTGGATCCTGTTTTCAGCTCGCTGGTACAGCAGAGATGTGGACGTCCTGTAGGGAGCCCAGTAAAGGGCTGCAAAGGTGAATTAAGGGCTTGGAGCATCTGTCATACAGGGAGAGTGTCACACCGCTGGGAATGTTCAGCCTGGAGGAGAGAAGGCTGGGAGGAGGATTGTCTCCATGTGTGTGAATACCTGGAGTGTGGAAAGACGATGGATCCAGGCTCTTCTCAGTGAAAGGACAAGAGGGAGTGAACACTGATGTCAATACAGGCGATACTGCTTAAACATAAGAAAAAGTTTTTTTACAGTGAGTGTAATCAAGCACTCACATATGTTCATCTGAATTCTTACACCTTGGAATCCAATGTTCAGGTTGGGCAGTGAAAACAGATAGGGAAGTGATAGAGGGGATTGTAAGAAATGTGAAACTATAACAAAAAGCCTTAATATTTTCTAGTTTTCAGTAGTCTTTAGTACTGTAACTTGTATTTCTGCATGCATAGTGATCTAACGATGTAACTGTTACACTAATCCCTGTTTTCTTACTAAGGAATGTAGTGGAAGGACATGGGCACAAGCTATCACTTAGTCGTTAGACAAAATAATTAAGTGAAACATAAGTGGTCTTGGTTCTTAGCAAATAATTGGGATAATTGTGGGATAAAAGACACTCCTAAATAACTCTACCCCAGACAGCTCTGCCTTGAGAGGGCAAATGCGCCAAGCTACAGAGATAAGGAGGCACCAAGAGAGCAACAAGACCGGAGCAAAACAACCTGAAGGACATGATATACGTGATCCTAGAACTGAGTTTGTGCAGAAACAAATGTCAATCAGTGAACAGCGTGATGAAGAGGATGGGCCGCAATAAAGAATACCTGCTTAATAGTATACGTTGTACTGTTAGGTTTTTCCTACCAGATCTTCGAATCAGTTGGGGGGGTCAGGACGCTGGAAGCCTGGCTGGAAGCTGGCAGTGGCCATCGCTGCGAGGTGACAGACGGGAAAGCACACCGTCACACTGAGCTTTTAACGTCTCCTGTTTTTTCAAATTCTAGGTGGGTTCGCAAAGGTGAAGCTTGCACGACACCATCTCACTGGTGAGAAAGTTGCGATAAAAATCATGGACAAAGTTGCTCTAGGGGTAAGCCAGAAGACTTAAAAGTTGGTAGTGTCTTCTCCCGTGCTGTGGCGTTCTCAGGAACGTGGGGTTGCGACGTGGCAGAGCGCTGCTGGCTTGTCCTGTTGGCTGGTGGTGGGTGCTGGGGGCTGGAAAGTATTTTAACAGAAGACTGCAAATCTTGTGCCCTCTTATGGAGAGGGCAGCATTCCCTGACTGTAAAACTGAGGAAGTTAAAGATTATTACAGCAATTCAAACACAATGAGAATGCTGATGAGAATATTAGCTATTTTACATCTGCCTCTCTGGGTTTTGCTGACCAATGTGCCCAAATTGTAGGGGACTAAAAGCAGCACTGTTGCCAGATTGAATTTGCGCAGTTGAATTATATGCTGTCATATACATACTGTGAAATTTTGTGTTGCACAATGATCTGATGCTTACTGTGATGTACAGGCTGTCATAGTAGTTGGCAATTTCACAGCTTGCTGTTGTGGTCTCTTAGGATGACTTGCCTCGTGTTAAAATAGAAATTGATGCCATGAAGAATTTGAGCCATCAGCATATTTGCCGGTTGTATCATGTGATAGAGACATCCAAGAAAATATTCATAGTCTTAGAGGTAAGAAGTGGTGTTTCTGCCATGGCGAAGGTTCCTGGTTGTAGCTGTGGTGGTAGATAATAACAGAGTTCGAATGAATCAATTCTTAAAAAGCTATGTCAGTGGTGAGTGTGTTCAAGATGCTTTAGTTTAAAAAGGAAGCTGGTAATACGTTCTACCTTCTTGTAAAGGCTCCTCTTCACTGTTTGCAATAAGTGAAGTAACTTTAATTCCTACCTCACGCTTCAGTGATTTTAAAGTAGCATCAGCAGGATACATGGGACCCCGGAACTCCTTCGTGGTTGTCACCCCTTGGGCAATTTGTATCGCCTGTGACATTAGCATAATGAATCTGTTGCAACAGGTCAGGCAAGATTCGGACCTCTCGGCTTCTTGGGTCAGCCACGGGGCTGGCTTGGGGCACTCAGGCACTGCTGTGATAAAGCAGTGGGAGTGGAAGAGAGTCCTCCCGTTGCTGTCCAGTGCTCTTGTTGTTGTTTAGGTTTCGTTACTATGTGCTGAATGCATTCTCTTTTTCCTGTCTTCCCGCAGTACTGTCCTGGAGGAGAGCTGTTTGATTACATAATTTCTAAGGACCGCCTTTCAGAAGAGGAAGCTCGTGTATTTTTTCGGCAGATTGTTTCAGCAATTGCTTATGTTCACAGTCAGGGCTATGCCCACAGG